AGACCTGTATAAAACATGATTAGACTTGTCTGTGTGGGGTGGTAGTTTGGTGTTAGACCTGTATCAAACATGGTTAGACTTGTCTGTGTGGGGTGGTAGTTTGGTGTTAGACCTGTATCAAACATGGTTAGACTTGTCTGTGTGGGGTGGTAGTTTGATGTTAGACCTGTATAAAACATGGTTAGACTTGTCTGTGTGGGGTGGTAGTTTGGTGTTAGACCTGTATAAAACATGGTTAGACTTGTCTGTGTGGGGTGGTAGTTTGATGTTAGACCTGTATCAAACATGGTTAGACTTGTCTGTGTGGGGTGGTAGTTTGGTGTTAGACCTGCATCAAACATGGTTAGACTTGTCTGTGTGGGCTGGTAGTTTGATGTTAGACCTGTATAAAACATGGTTAGACTTGTCTGTGTGGGGTGGTAGTTTGATGTTAGACCTGTATCAAACATGGTTAGACTTGTCTGTGTGGGGTGGTAGTTTGATGTTAGACCTGCATCAAACATGATTAGACTTGTCTGTGTGGGGTGGTAGTTTGATGTTAGACCTGTATCAAACATGATTAGACTTATCTGTGTGGGGTGGTAGTTTGGTGTTAGACCTGTATCAAACATGATTAGACTTGTCTGTGTGGGGTGGTAGTTTGATGTTAGACCTGTATCAAACATGGTTAGACTTGTCTGTGTGGGGTGGTAGTTTGATGTTAGACCTGTATAAAACATGGTTAGACTTGTCTGTGTGGGGTGGTAGTTTGATGTTAGACCTGTATCAAACATGGTTAGACTTGTCTGTGTGGGGTGGTAGTTTGATGTTAGACCTGCATCAAACATGATTAGACTTGTCTGTGTGGGGTGGTAGTTTGATGTTAGACCTGTATCAAACATGATTAGACTTATCTGTGTGGGGTGGTAGTTTGGTGTTAGACCTGTATCAAACATGATTAGACTTGTCTGTGTGGGGTGGTAGTTTGGTGTTAGACCTGTATCAAACATGGTTAGACTTGTCTGTGTGGGGTGGTAGTTTGATGTTAGACCTGTATCAAACATGGTTAGACTTGTCTGTGTGGGGTGGTAGTTTGATGTTAGACCTGTATCAAACATGGTTAGACTTGTCTGTGTGGGGTGGTAGTTTGGTGTTAGACCTGTATCAAACATGATTAGACTTGTCTGTGTGGGGTGGTAGTTTGATGTTAGACCTGTATAAAACATGGTTAGACTTGTCTGTGTGGGGTGGTAGTTTGATGTTAGACCTGTATAAAACATGGTTAGACTTGTCTGTGTGGGGTGGTAGTTTGATGTTAGACCTGTATCAAACATGGTTAGACTTGTCTGTGTGGGGTGGTAGTTTGATGTTAGACCTGTATCAAACATGGTTAGACTTGTCTGTGTGGGGTGGTAGTTTGATGTTAGACCTGTATCAAACATGGTTAGACTTGTCTGTGTGGGGTGGTAGTTTGATGTTAGACCTGTATAAAACATGGTTAGACTTGTCTGTGTGGGGTGGTAGTTTGATGTTAGACCTGTATCAAACATGGTTAGACTTGTCTGTGTGGGGTGGTAGTTTGATGTTAGACCTGTATCAAACATGGTTAGACTTGTCTGTGTGGGGTGGTAGTTTGGTGTTAGACCTGTATCAAACATGGTTAGACTTGTCTGTGTGGGGTGGTAGTTTGATGTTAGACCTGTATCAAACATGGTTAGACTTGTCTGTGTGGGGTGGTAGTTTGATGTTAGACCTGTATCAAACATGGTTAGACTTGTCTGTGTGGGGTGGTAGTTTGATGTTAGACCTGTATCAAACATGGTTAGACTTGTCTGTGTGGGGTGGTAGTTTGATGTTAGACCTGTATCAAACATGGTTAGACTTGTCTGTGTGGGGTGGTAGTTTGATGTTAGACCTGTATCAAACATGGTTAGACTTGTCTGTGTGGGGTGGTAGTTTGATGTTAGACCTGTATCAAACATGGTTAGACTTGTCTGTGTGGGGTGGTAGTTTGATGTTAGACCTGTATCAAACATGGTTAGACTTGTCTGTGTGGGGTGGTAGTTTGATGTTAGACCTGTATCAAACATGGTTAGACTTGTCTGTGTGGGGTGGTAGTTTGATGTTAGACCTGTATCAAACATGTGTGTCTGTGTGGGGTGGTAGTTTGATGTTAGACCTGTATCAAACATGGTTAGACTTGTCTGTGTGGGGTGGTAGTTTGATGTTAGACCTGTATCAAACATGGTTAGACTTGTCTGTGTGGGGTGGTAGTTTGATGTTAGACCTATATCAAACATGGTTAGACTTGTCTGTGTGGGGTGGTAGTTTGGTGTTAGACCTGTATCAAACATGGTTAGACTTGTCTGTGTGGGGTGGTAGTTTGATGTTAGACCTGTATCAAACATGATTAGACTTATCTGTGTGGGGTGGTAGTTTGATGTTAGACCTGTATCAAACATGGTTAGACTTGTCTGTGTGGGGTGGTAGTTTGGTGTTAGACCTGTATCAAACATGGTTAGACTTGTCTGTGTGGGGTGGTAGTTTGATGGTAGTCCGATATGAAAGCTTGTTTGAGCCCCATGGAGGAGCGGGGCCAAAAGGGAGCCCGATGGAGGGGCGGGGCCAAAAGGGAGTCCTATATGAAAGCTTGTTTGAGCCCCATGGAGGAGCGGGGCCAAAAGGGAGTCCTGTATGAAAACTTGTTTGAGCCTTATGGAGGGGCGGGGACAGAGAGGTGCAAATGTACTTTTTTCAAAGAAAAACATCTTCAGAGGCAAATATCGTGACGTTAAATAATCTTCAGAAATGTAAGAGTATTCGCCAGAACTGTGAGTTGTATGGTCCCAGGAGCTTGTATTCCTTCTGAGCAAGTACATAACGAGTATTTAGTTTCTGCTGGTAGCTAACGTTTTGAGTATACTCAATTTCGAGTAGAATTACTGACAATGGATGGCAGGGTAATGTTATTCACATTTTACACCGATGGACTCTTGAGACTCAAAGGATCAAGAGATCAAATTAAGTAAGGCTTGGCAGTTCTCTCCAGTTCCATGGATACCCAGTCATCGTTCAGCTTATAAGACAATTCAGATGGTGTTTGATATGTATCGATATGTCCTCGCTGGAGAGTATTGTAGTTGTGGCCATTCTCAACAGCAATGTTACATTACATGTCACAACATGTAGCCTTAAGGCCACTGTGTCCCTTGTTTTGAGGAAATTTCACCGGATGATAACACTTTTGAACTCCAGTGTGATTGCGTGAAGTTGTATCGGTACATAAATAAAAAAAAATCAATAAATGTAAAAATAATTTAATTTATTTTCATATACAAATGAAAAGTAACCCGATAATACCAGTTACAGTCACATAAATTCAGGAACCAGCTGTATGTTACATTTGTATGAATAGAGGTCGCCACCGAAGAGCATTGACCAGATGTCGCTACAGGTGGTAACAACACACACATTCAACGACACATCATCGATGGAAAATTAAGTCATGATATTGCTGCAATCTTATCATGAACAGTGAAACTGGTGAATGCTCCCCGAAAACGACTTTACTGACCACAAAACTTAACAAAGAGCAATAAATCTGTAATGAAGTATTTGTAAATAAGAATTTGGTAAACAGCACATTCTTTTAGTATGACCAATAGATAAACCAAGTTTCATTATTATAGTTTTAATACAAGCAAAGCTATGCTCATAAAACACAGAATTTTAACAAAGGGTAATAACTCTGTAATTGATCAGGAAGGGTCATTGGCCCAGATTTTGCTCCACTTCACACTGCATTTGTATCAATGATGTATATATCTTATTTCCCCATCCTAATTTAAATGCAGGCAAAAAACATCAAGAAAATACCAACATGTCAACATAATCCAAAACACTCAAATTCAATAAAAACTAAGGCAAAATATGAACACCAGCAAGATTTACGCGCTGACTCCTGGAAAAGGACAAGGAGAATAAGATCAGGAAGACCGGAAGAGTAAGCGTCTTCTACTTCATCGACGACTCCCGCCATATAAACCTTGGTCAATTAAAGTAAGTAATGTCGCGTTCTCAAATGAGAACAAGGTGTACGACAACGGAACCAACAGGCAAGCCAATGAGTATCAAATATGTCAAGCTTCATGTCACACAAAGAAATCACAAAGAAATAGAACATTTCTCAATGAGACTGCTGCGGCGACTATAAAACTTCCCAAATATTTTCATCAACCTGCATCTTTTGAACCCTTGTGTTACGAGTTTGTCAGTCAGTTGACGGCTTCTTGCACGAAAATCGTGATCATTGGAAAAGGCCCTTGAATATCGAATCAACGGTGACATGTAAATACCATAGGGTTGGAGATGCAGGATTATTGCTACCCAGAAATGGAAAATTCACGATAAGGAAATTGAAATAATCTCATTTATTATAAAACTTGATAGAAAGCTGTCCATGTTGGTTTCGTTGTAGGGAAAATCGAGATAAGCAGCTGATGTAAAAGAGTCTGTCGTAACTATGATATCCAGTACTGATGGCTATATGCGATAGACGTAGTCAATAAATTTCGTTTTATCTGAAGACAAGAAGTCATCAATAATCAGCGAAGTAATGCCCCGGACAAATTTTGTTTACAAAGGACAATAACTTTGCAATTAAGGGGTTGCAGGCCCTAACGTTGGTACAATGCAAATCGTCTTTTTATGATCAATGTATACACCAAGTTTCCTAATCCTTGCTTTACTGTGGGGCAAAGTCCTGTTCCGGACACGACAGGACTGACGGAGGGACGAGTCGGCGACTATATACTTTCCCTGAAAATTTCGTGGATCATAAAAACTAGAGAAATTGAAAAAACGCGTAATATGAGTGTTAAGAGATTTAAGGCAGCTTTGTGTAAAAGTTTTCATCATATTTGTGTCGACATTATATACACATATGATGTAAAGTTATACGTGACTTTTCATAGCCTCACGAAAAACTGAAAACTGTTCCCATGTTCAGCACAGTACCGAAATATGTATCTATCGTAGGATATTTCACCTCGTGTCCAACGAAATCCTTCTTATTTTGCACCCAGACTGCACGGCATATTGCCTGGTCCATGAGGTCTTTATTGTCTACCGATGGTGACAATCAAGTGGTAAAGTTGGCAATAAGAATTTAGAAACAGCATTTGCACCAGACATAATCCTCTGATCACAGGCAATCTATCAACACCAGAAGATCAGTGACGTCACCATCTGTGCCATTCATTGTATCGTATTGAAACAACACATCTAATGAATACGTCAGAGTCACGTGATGGAGGCGAACATAGACAGGTTTAATGCCTTTGATAAGTCTCCTTTTGACGTATCCTTTATTGGAGATGTGTCGAGCTTTATGATTGGTCGGAGCTGTCCTCTTTTGCCCTGTTTAGGGGTCGATGTACACAAAAGTTCCTCCCCAAAGTCTATGTCTAGTGACGAAAACATGTTGTAGCTACACTTCTGCTCGAAAGGCTGATACAGAAGCATGCTTCTACGCGTGATTGGCGGTGGATTTTCGTTTACGGTTTTGGAAATTTTTTTGCCTATGTCTTCTTTCACAATCCGACACTCTTGGTCAATCAGAGGATGAATGATGTCCTTATTTGGCATTAAAGGGTGATTGTCGTGATGTAAACACAGTTTTTGGGGCGTCATCTCCGAGTCATTGGATTCAAGTTTTAATGGTTCGTTACCTACAAAAATAAAATGAACGTGATTTAATTTTGAACTTAAGATGTAGTTTGAACGTTTTTAGGAAGCAACGGGAAATTTGTCAATTGACACATAAAAAGTTTTACTAAATCTACAAACGTAACAGCCAACCCACTGGAAACATATTATCTATGCTTTATCTGGATGTCATACATGCAATCGTTTCCTTTTCAATTTAAAAAAAAAGTGAATAGTAATCAACTTAACATTAGGATTAAGGACTTATGTGTGTTCGGATTCCCTCTAGCGTTTGCCTCATTTCACCACAATAATTTTCAGTTCCGGAATATATTGATATACTGATATTTTAATCATAGAATTAATTTCTTACCAGATCTAGAATGATTTCGTCGCCGATTTCGTTGCCAGATTAAAAACAAGATGATAAGGCCGATGATACTAAGAAGGAAGATGAAGCCAGCGATGATTCCGAGAATGAGTGACATGGGTAAGGCGTTCGTGTCTATACTCTCGACTGAAAGTAAGATATTGTATGACTGAAGAGTTCATAAGAAAATGTCACATCAATTGATTGAATAATTAAAGATGTTTTGTACAATATCGTTAAACGTATTTACAACAACGCCTCCAGCAGATTATCTCAAAATATATTTAACTAATATGATACGTACCAAATCAAGCTATATTCCGGTCGTATTTTCCCCTGAATATCTCACAATGTTGCAGATGTTATGTATTATTATGTGTGCAGAGGATAAAACCTAGTCAACGGCGACATGTGTAACCTAACACAGAATCTGCACGGCGTGACTTACTCATCAAATAAAACGCCCGCTGACGCGTGAACACTAGAAATCGATATTAAAGTGTTACTCACCCTTTACAACGAAAGATTATAGTATTAAACCCATAAATCATCCATCAATTTTCTGAAATATATTTCTACATTATCACCAACATTTGCTGGTTGTTCTTGTGCATAATCAGTTATTAGAAGATTTGTTACCGTCATTCAGCATCCCATTTTTTTTATACCAGACTGGCGTGAACATCAGAAAAGGATCTGACAAGAATGTTTACATGCTTTTTAAAAAAAAAAATATATATATATATATGTATATCCTTCGCCGTCAATTATTCAGAAAACACTGCCGATATCCTACGTAGCATGCCGTTGTTTTCGACATCAAACATATTATCAATTATCAGTTTTAAATGTTCTTACCGACACAGCGGGCTTCGTCTCGTCCGTCCAGACAGTCCTTGTGTCCGTCACACATGGACATATGGGGGATACAGCTACCGTCCGTGCACTGGTACTCGTCTGCAAGACATGCTGTTGAATAAAAAAATGTTCGTTTTCAGTCTAAGGCATCACGTGATATGCGAGCAGTGGGTTCAAACGCAATGATAGCACAAGATCGTGAAAATCGAGAACTGACATTTCTGAAATTCTCTTTGCATGCTGTAGGGAGTGTAAAGGATTATGAGATTAGACAATTGTTTAAAAACATGTATGTTCTGAGGGTAGAGAAACATTTGGTAGCACCAACTCTTCGTTCATTTGATTCACATCACATCAGGGGTTATCAAGCCCCTGTCTGCTAACCAATACTAACAGGGACCGGACACGTACATGTTATGATATGACATAATGTTATCTGGTGAAGCTTGCTTTGTCTGCCATACTCCGACTCTAACGCTTATCACAGCTGAGAGAAAACTCGTACACAGTTACAGTAATAGAAACTAAGATTACCGAAGTTCAACGTACAGGTATTAAAACCATTGACCTGACACTAATAATACGCTATCTGATAAACTCCTCCAACTCCATAATGGATGACGTCTCGGACCCGGGAAATGCATGTGGCATATGTGTTTAGCTGTTACCTCAAAATGATATTTTCCCTGATATGAGAAAATGTTTAATCTTGTTTGTTTGTTTGTTTGTTTCTCGTCCTGTATCTGGTACCCTCGATACCCTCAGAGACATATATAGCACATGTGATATATACGTCTCTGATACCCTGCAACCCTCGGACATGCCATGGCAAAATCAAAGGCACAAGATAAGTAATTTGATTGGTTCAAGGACAAAAAAAATGACCAATCACAGGCTGATACGCTCCTCTTGAAGATTATGAAGGAGTGACACCCAACTTCGAAATATCCCTACAGTATATTGTATTACTACAATATATTGTTATGTGACCTTGAGATTCGTTTGATGTACATCAAAGGATCAAACTAGTCTTTTCGACTTGTCCACAAGGTGTCACACATGGCGTCTTCAGTTTGGCCATGACATATCCCTGGGGTGCAGAGAACGAAAGTGATTGTAACACCCGGGGTATCGAGGATTTGTATCTGTTTACGTGTGTAAACCGTGACCTACTTGTATATTTATAGGTCACGTTAAAACAGACTGTCGGACATGTCGCCAGAGAATCGACCCCAGGCGATTGGACAAAGCCTGGAAGAGTCATGGGGACGATAAACCAACCTCACTATCACAGACATTCCAGCTTACAGGAATCTTGTACAAATCTATACCAATGAGTTCGGAGCAGAAATCATCCCGAATTAATACTCAAAATCGATAAAGTTACAATGCAAAAAAAAATGCTGTAATTCTGATTTTGATTTACGAACTAATAGTTGGTTTTATTTACTGCATATTGATCGCGCTTTGTTTTCGTAAACAATACATGATAGTTTGGTGTCGATCCCGGTTACTGTAAGCGACAGTTGACAATGCCAAGTGCGTCTTTATACCTTGTACCAGCAGGCATCGGACAAAGTCTCACATCAAATAAGTGTTTGTTATATATGGTTTTGTTGACGGGAAGTTATTTTGAAGTATTAAAGCATTTTCGTCCAAAAATGTAATTCTGTAGAGTTCTATATAGTAGCCTATGTTATCTCAAATGTATTTGTGATAGGACATAGATTACTATATGTTCATACGCTCAGTGGCTACTGTGCACAACGTACCGACATTTAAATAAAACATTTTGATGTATATGTATACTACGACAAGAAACGACACAACAATGAATATGAATGAAAAAGGCCACCCTTACAGAGAGTGACTTTGTATTTATTTATGAAATTAAAAACATATCTTACTTACTTACTTACTTATAGTTACTTATAGTTGATTTCCAGTACAGGAATTAAAATTCATAAATCAATGTAACAATATCTGCTCTGTAGATTTATTTTTGCAGTTACAAACACCATAAAATGAACAAAAGATTTATTTTTTCAGTAGTTATAATAAAAAGGCAATTTGGGGTTAACAAAAAACCGCCACAAAGACATGACAAAATGTCTTCACATAACAACTTAAGATGGTTTTCTGTCCGCTATAAAGGGCCTTCGGCGTCCATCGACCGAAGGGATTATTGAGACACCTAGATTTACGTCACCGCTCTCGATTTAACTCTATAACTTTGTATTTGTTTTATGTTCTATGTATATGGTGTAATTTTCGTAATATTTCTGTCTTGATAAAGGGGCAGATTGCCTCGAAATTTTGATAATTCGCTTGTCTGTACTGTTGTTATTACTTCACTGATCATCTATGTCCTTCCGAAATATAAATATATATATACATATCCTACTGAAATTAAAATGGATATGAAATCTGTGTTCAGTATCCATATCAAATATCATCTGACACACCACTTTCTGGTTTAATATCGTCACCGTAAAGTTGATAGGCATCTCCTCCAATACCTTATATCACATTCATCTAGGTATGTATGATTGTATGTGTACCAGACCAATCAATCTTAATTATATTCTGTCATTGCCGTACTTCAAACTTCAATAAATGGTCATGAAATTATGTTAATGGGTTTCGCGACCGGAATGAAACCGTTGATCTGCTGCAGTTGTGACGTCATCCGTGACGAGGAAGTGAGAAGAGTTTTGACTCTACATTAGAGCTAAATATAAAATAATACTAGCGCAGTGTGATGGACAGTGACGTATTGAAGTATGCGATATTAAGAATAAAAATTTATCTCACGTATTACCAGCTTGTTAGAAATAAATATCTTCCGTTGTGAAATTGATTGTGTTAAATTCATTCGTACCTGTTTAGAATTTTATATAAAACTCAAATTCGTTAAAGAGTGTACAATCAATAACTACTTATTTATAATATTTTGTGAAATACGTTCATGTAACGTGGCATGTTGCCTTCAAACGCGTCCACATTAACAATCACAGTGTATTCTCAATAGAGGAAATAACATGCCATTCAATACTTATTACTTATTCCAACCTATTTAAATTAATGCTAATAAAACAAGTGCCTAGCTTTAATTCTGCATAATTAATTATCATCACAGTTTACCTGTCGTTGTATTTGATAAGAAATACCTAATGAGATGGCATGAGATATTCCAGATTCATCTGGTCGTGAATACGATGTTTACTGTGTGAAGTGAATCTATATGCTCATGAACATGTAGTTAGAGTGATCGATTTTTTAAATAGAATCCATGAACAAAAAAAGAACTTTATGTATTTATTGATACGTGACTGAATTCACAAACCTACCGATTGAGTTAAACTATGAACTTTTTAATGAGGAATACTTGAAGTGAATTAATTAATCGTTGAAACGTGCTGATTAAACCTTTGATAATTTTTTTATCCAGAGTTATCGTTCTTTACAGCCACACGCTGATAGTATTGTCTGTGGGTAGAGCAATCCCGGTTTATCCTGTTTATAGAAGGAAACAGTGACCCTAGTTATATGTGATGGTCTTTTCAATTAACGACATAGAGTAATGGTTGATATTGACACGTACAATAAGTGTATCATTAAAATGAGTCTAAAGCGCTACACTCATTTACAAACAGTTGTCAGATAAAAGTGGTTTCTTTTGGCCATAATGTACTTAATTTACTCAAAAAGAAGTGCAACAGAGTCTAAAGGACCCTATCAGATAAAGTAAAGCTGTTTTACCAGATGTTAAGGGTGGAGTTGGGAAAATATCACATTTCAGAAGAACATTCATTTTACTGGGATAAAAACGAAAAACTTTAACAAGTATCTACAAACTTTCACTTGGAGAGTTCCATATCAACACGAAAGTTCAGATGTTTCATCGTTTTCTTTTCAGAATTCTTAAATGGAGACTGTTCAGTCCTGTGAAAAAAGTCTGCCTTTTTTCCTAGTGAAAAAACTTCAAAGAAACCACAACAGGCTTATTCATCAGAAAATCATCTACAAAAATTTCACAGGCTTTACAAACTAACCACATTTAATACATGGCAGAAAGACAGATTAGACGTCATAGCAAGAACAAAAGATTTTCTTCAAAGTATAGATTTATTTTCGTGGCCAGTCTGGTAAGACATAACCATGTTATGAAATATAAGGACACCTCAACATCAGGCGAAGGAGATTTTAACTGCTTTCAAAAGGAAAAGAAAACATTTGGTATTGAATTTTACATTATGGATGAAAAGAAACTGCTCCGAGAAATTTGTATGGAATACTGGGAGGATATTTCTCATACTATGAAATAATGACCTAGGAAACAGTCTGATGGAACACAAGGGATTACTGTCACCAGTAATGTTGTGACTGTTACAGAACGATCGACATTCCCGTGGTATACATGGTAGGTCAGAACTGATACAAACAAATTTTACACATTCCGTTTGTCTGACTTCCGATCGAAGTTAATATGCTTCCGGTATTAAATACGGTTACCATCAATCTTCATTGTGGTTGAACATTCCAGTGATCTACCTGTATGTCACGTAAACAGCAGATATGAAACCGTAACAAGTATGGTGTCAAGCTTATTTATACTATCAGCTGGTAGATGTATATACATTTCATACTTATATTCAACGAAATTTGATTTCGTCCAACATTTGGTGTCATTTATGTCAAAATTTAATCGGTCCATAACGTAATCGATATCAACCGATTTCCAATCACCTGACTGTATGATGTCTAATTAACCGACTTCCGATCACCTGACTGTATGATGTCTAATTAACAGACTTCCGATCACCTGACTGTATGATGTGTAATTAACCGACTTTCGATCACCTGACTGTATGATGTCTAATTAACAGACTTCCGACCACCTGACTGTATGGTGTCTAATTAACAGACTTCCAATCACCTGACAGTATGATGTCTAATTAACAGACATCCAATCACCTGACTGTATGGTGTCTAATTAAAAGACTTCCAATCACCTGACAGTATGATGTCTAATTAAAAGACATCCAATCACCTTACTGTATGATGTGTAATTAACAGACTTCCGATCACCTGACTGTATGATGATCACCTGACTGTATGATGTGTAATTAACAGACTTCCGATCACCTGACTGTGATGTGTAATTAACAGACTTCCGATCACCTGACTGTATGATGTGTAATTAATTAATCACCTGACTGTACTTCCAATCACCTGACTGTAGACTTCCGATGATGTGTAATTAACAGACTTCCGACACCTGACATGTATGATGTAATTAACAGACTTCCGATCACCTGACTGTATGATGTGTAATTAACAGACTTCCAATCACCTGACTGTATGATGTGTAATTAACAGACTTCCGATCACCTGACTGTAGGATGTGTAATTAACAGACTTCCGATCACCTGACTGTATGATGTATAATTAACCGACTTCCGATCACCTGACTGTAGGATGTGTAATTAACAGACTTCCGATCACCTGACTGTATGATGTGTAATTAACAGACTTCCGATCACCTGACTGTAGGATGTGTAATTAACAGACTTCCGATCACCTGACTGTATGATGTGTAATTAACAGACTTCCGATCACCTGACTGTAGGATGTGTAATTAACAGACTTCCGATCACCTGACTGTATGATGTATAATTAACCGACTTCCGATCACCTGACTGTATGATGTCTAATTAACAGACTTCCGATCACCTGACTGTATGATGTGTAATTAACAGACTTCCGATCACCTGACTGTATGATGTCTAATTAACAGACTTCCGATCACCTGACTGTATGATGTCTGTTAAACTGACTGTATGATGTCTAATTAACAGACTTCCGATCACCTGACTGTATGATGTGTAATTAACACCACCTGACTGTATGATGTGTAATTAACAGACTTCCGATCACCTGACTGTAGGATGTGTAATTAACAGACTTCCGATCACCTGACTGTATGATGTGTAATTAACCGAATTCCGATCACCTGACTGTATGATGTCTAATTAACAGACTTCCGATCACCTGACTGTATGATGTCTAATCAACAGACATCCAATCACCTTACTGTATGATGTGTAATTAACAGACTTCCGATCACCTGACTGTATGATGTCTAATTAACAGACATCCAATCACCTGACTGTATGATGTGTAATTAACAGACTTCCGATCACCTGACTGTATAATGTCTAATTAACCGACAGTATGATGTCTAATTAACAGACTTCCAATCACCTGACAGTATGATGTCTAATTAACAGACTTCCGATCACCTGACTGTATGATGTGTAATTAACAGACTTCCGATCACCTGACTGTATGATGTCTAATTAACCGACTTCCGATCACCTGACTGTATGATGTCTAATTAACAGACATCCAATCACCTGACTGTATGATGTGTAATTAACAGACTTCCGATCACCTGACTGTATGATGTCTAATTAACCGACAGTATGATGTCTAATTAACAGACTTCCAATCACCTGACAGTATGATGTCTAATTAACAGACTTCCGATCACCTGACTGTATGATGTCTAATTAACAGACTTCCGATCACCTGACTGTATGATGTCTAATTTTGGACCAAAGCCTTATTTATTTCTTATTTTATTACTGTATCCTTGTGATGGAATTCTTAATCATTGTTGACACAGCGATGACCGAAACGTCTTATACAACCTCACAGTAACAGAAATATCAGTTTCTGAAAAACAAAGATGTATATTGTATGTTGTGAAAGTATGACTTTCACGCGCACTTCTTTAGTCCTTATGTTTAAGTACCTTTGTGAAAAGTGAGATGTGTACTGAAAATTACACCATACAAACTTGAATGAAATACACACCCGCAATTATTAACCGTGTTCCGGGTGAACGGGTAGTACAGTGCAATAAGTTTGTCTGAAAGCTTCACATCCTATACACTAAATGTAAGTGACACATACTTAAATTACAATTTATTTATTATTTACTTTACGTATTCGTCAAATATGTATTTACAGATGTTAATAGTTCCCCCCTCTGGAGCCGAAGGAGACTATAGTTTTACATCGTGTTTGTCCTTCTTTCCATTCGGCCGTCTTTCCACTATCTTGTCAGGCCCCTTTTTTCTACACAACTAACGCTTGAAATATGAGGTCACCTTGTAATGGTGTGTCGCGTATCTAAAGTAGGTCACTCTGACTTTCAATTTGCCTTTGACCTACATCAAAGGGGAAGCTTGTCCGGGCCCTATCTTGTACACAAACTTTATACTTGGGATATGAATTCACCTTGGTGAGTCTGTGTCGGTGGGGGAATTTAATTTTTAAGTGTAATAGGTGTAATATTCATTTATAAAAAAGGTTTCATTGATTTAAAATATGAATTGTACTTACGACAAGGATTGTCGACTTCCACACATACATGGCGGGAACATAACTTGTATTGTAGGGGGTCCTGTAGACAATTCGTTATTTCTCGTCTCTGTAATCCCATATTGATTTCTTTTCAATCACAAAACGTTCCTTCCGGCGAAAGTAGATCAGCACAAATATTTCAAATGGAATCAAACGTACCCGCGAGCACCTTGTCAGATGACAATGTTTTAAGCCTATGTGAATAGCAGGATAAACATCTGAAGATGTTCACCATCTCCGAAAATAGTAACACATAATCTGTCGAGTCGGCGAATTATCGAAAAAAAGAATCTTGTAATACAATCCGAACGCACCTTTTGAATATCACGTTGTCAAAAGGTTTAAAAATCTTTCCGTTTCGTTAAATAATAATAAATTATCCCTTTAATGGACAGGATACAATTCCGAAACTCCACGTCGTAAGTTTCAGGGTTTACCGTTCTGATACTTAGAATTCCAATCTGAGTATAGAATTTCAAGTCCCCTCGTATTCCAATCGTTCTTAATAACATCCACCCATCTTTTTCAGTTGGCAGTAGCCTGTGAAAGGAGTGAATCTGAAACATACAATCAGATATGTCTTGATAAAATTCCGACAGTCTACCACAGCACTCAAATATTTGCCGATGTCTCACTTGTTGTCGATAAGTATTTCTAAGCGAGGTGTTGGTGAAATGGACTCATAATGCCATATAGTTTAAAATCAGTGCTCGCTTTGTGTATATTAAACGTATATACACGTACGTGTGGGATACACACACTGCTGTACTGATTCCCACGCGTGTCTGTTTAGTTTACTATAAACTGCTGTAAGTACTCCTGTCTGTAAAAAAAAAAACACGTCACGATGTGAAATGGACACCTATTCTCTACCGAGTCCTTATTATCACAACAGACCTCTTCAACTACTACACTCACACACAAATATATATATACATACACACAAACAAACAAACAAACAAACAAATACACAAATTAAACCTCATTCACATACTAAACAGGAACAATCACCACGAAAAATTATTTGTAAACTGAAATCAATTACTTTATCCTTTTAATGACGTTTTCACAATCGGATCAACTCGGAGGCGTTAGCACGGAACCTTGTCGAGGCGTCAGCTGTTCTATATAAAGAAAGCATACTTTGTTGTGGTATTAAATTATACATCCGTGACAGGGACGTTACTATGTCTGAAGCCTTAACAGGAGCACGCTAAAGGTGACAATTTATCATCCGATATTTTGAGTGAAACAGGTCAACGCGTGTGAAAGGAAGATAGCAATATGTGACTATCATAGTGAACAAATGTGTGAGTATGCGGAAAAAACATTTTTTATTTAACACACCAGACTTATATGGAAAGAAGATCACTTAATTTTTTATCCATCAACGACACATGCACACCATTTTGCGAAATGAACTGATTGAAAGAGGATTTTTTTTACAAAATGTAGACACACCTGACCAGTTCTCGAATACAAAACATGTTGTTTTTTTCGTTATTTCAATTTGGACATTTAAATTACTGTTTTGTAATCTTAATCAAGTGAGAGAGACATGTCGGGAATATTTCCTACTATAATAAAATCACGGTTGTTGGTTAAACGCCATCGGCGTCATGGCGGACACCTATGGAAGTCGAACACTTCATTGAAATATCAAATGTTTACAATATTACTTATTTTTAATGTGTCGATCTAAATAATGATATTCGAACCCCTTAAACACGAAAGATTAATTTCTAGGCCAGTATTGTGGCGTTTTGCGTTGATCAGACCGAGAAATCAACAGATTACCAGGCAGTTGTACGTGGAATAGAGGCGTTAGAATTGAGGAATTGAGTTGAAATGTATTTTATAAAGTACATCCAATCCACTATTGATGCAATACATTTCTTTTGTGTAATATATTTCATTCTGCTTATTTCAGAATAAGAAACAAAATTAAGTATGAAAACTTTTGAAGAACAGGCCTTTTCTTCCGACAGTTGTCGCTCGCAGCTGGTCGCGCTATCGTCTGCTTGACTTCAGATTATCACGGGTGGAAACAGTTAATTTGCGTTTTTCTTGAAATTATAGGTCATGTTTGAGATATACAGGTATAGAAGTTCGGTTATGAAAATACATCATTACATGTATATATATTTATAATTTCTACTTTTTGGTGTGTAGACACAGATTCGAGACTGCTCAAATAATAATGATTTACACTTTAAGGGGGATGAAACCGCGGGCATCTACTTGGCAAACTGGAACACACAGGAAAGTAGGGAGGCACGTTTCTCCACTTTGTAACCATTTCTAAAAAGGAGGAATCCATCAAACAGCAGACTGTTACCGTTACCAGGTAGGATATACAGTTGATATAGAAGATAAATAAAATGACGCCAGTTTCTTATTCATATTTCCATTTTCAAATATCTATAAAAAAAATTCATAAAATCAGGATTACGCCTTTTAAATTTCCCACTAAACCATATACTGGTGCGCAGAACAACAGTGACGATCTGAAGTTCATTTTCTCCGACCACGCTGATCAACATGTCTGGTAGTGTTTGTATGCAGTGCATTGTCTCCGACCTTCTGTCTCGCAGATGGTTTGTTTACTCACAACGGAAAAAGAAACTTACTTCAGTACGAACATCGATAATATTTGGGCGAGGGAAAAGGGACCTCATATGTTCCTGGGTGACTCTCTTTCCATTTCTGCAATACTTTTTTTAATCATAGCCGAAAGTGCCGAAACCAAAATCTCAAAGTACTCCTGATTCATTGAGACAAATTTTCAAATTTTGACTTGAGGAATATTTATTGATTCCGAGCCCTATATCGTCAAGTAATGAAGAACATTTTTGATATCAAAACTAGGCATCGACAGTTCAGAATGAAAAGTATTCATGGTGTCTCCTGATTGTTAAGACAATATGTGTTTTCACATTATTTTCTAAATGTCAATCAAGATCATTTTCATTACTATATAACGTTCATCAATCAACACCTACAATGTATATACTAATTTTCGGTGTGTGTTAAGACCTTACATTGTTGGATTTTAAGAGATAAATTAAAGTTCTTTAATCCAATACAACAACAAGCTGAGATTTGACCAGCGAAGCTTTTATTTGAAAAGGCAAGGTGTACTGTCAAAATTTCAAAAAACATAAATTATACGATATGATTGATAATGAAAATTTCGTCGTCAGAGATATCACAGATTCGTTTACTTTAGTGAAACAATTTTTTTTGAAATATGGCTGATACCAAGCATATCCTCTTTTCATATGACGTCACAGTATATGTGACTCCATGCTATTGTAACGTAACAGCTGAAAGTATGAGAACAATATAAATCCTACTTCAGATAGATCTAAACATATTTTTTTTAATATTAAGTAATTTAATAGTATTACATATACCTACATTCCCCATGTGTAGTCGGTACGTGTTTATACACTATGGTTACAATGACCAATGTCCACCGTACAAATACACATATATATATATATACATATACGTAGTCTCTCACTATTTATTACAAATAACGGGCGTTACAAATACCTCCCGGACATCATTACAACTTTCTCTTTATTCTGATGTAACACTGTTTGTAACAGATCAACACCATTTCGCCACTCGCGGTCTGGTTAAGTCACTACCACTACGTATCTATTGACCCCGGAGGCGTGTGACATTTCAGCTCGAGACTTTCTCAATCAAATTGACCAGATCAATAGTTCTTAATCTGCCTAAAACCTTTAAAGTCCTTATTAAGAATTATCCTTAGACAGGAATGACTCATAAAGTCCAATTGGATTACGGAGGTCTTTAAGACTTAATTACACCTACTTGGCTTTTCCTCTCTAGTATTACTGAGTCATTATGATCCTATCAGACGTCCCAGCTCATTTGATCAACATGTGAGAATTTACAAAGAACTCGCTTTGATACTGAAGACGGTCACAGACCATGTCATTAGGGTTAGAGGTCACAGACTGTCATTAGGGTTAGAGGTCACAGACTGTGTCATTAGGGTTAGAGGTCACAGACTGTGTCATTAGGGTTAGAGGTCACAGACTGTGTCATTAGGGTTAGAAGTCACAGACTGTGTCATTAGGGTTAGAGGTCACAGACTATGTCATTAGGGTTAGAGGTCACAGACTGTGCCATTAGGGTTAGAAGTCACAGACTGTGTCATTAGGGTTAGAAGTCACAGACTGCCATTAGGGTTAGAGGTCACAGAATGTGTCATTGGGGTTAGAGGTCACAGACTGTCGTTAGAATTAAAGCGATGCTGGAGGCGAATCAAAAATATTACGGGCGTCTTTCCAGAAAAAAGCAAAATTAATGTATGTCATCTCATTTCAATCTATATACCCAATAGATAAAAATACAGCTCACGAAAAATCATTATTATGACAAATGTATTATGTGTGGACACGGGTACTGAATACCACCACAATTGTAGATTTCGCGATTTCAGTGTAGTTATTGGGGTACTCGTTAGAGAGACGTTTCAACCGGACAGGGAAATTCGTCATATCTGGTCAATACTTGACCAATCTCGTCCATCAATATTAACTGGAAAAATGAAGCATTTCTTTTAAAAGTAGTATATGTATTACTGATCTACGGCCCTTAGAATATTTTTTTAAGTAGTAAAAAGATATGTGACTAAGGTTTTACAGAGGGAGGACGCATCAGTAGCTGAAGGAAACCGTGTGGTCGGACAGCTCACGTCCGAACAGAGAATCAAACCAGAATCGTCATGATGCGTTGTTCAATCCGTCTAACAAGCTCTGTGATTTCAGTGCAAATTTAAAAGTATAAAAGAGAACTAGATTTATCTGCAGGACAGACCTCACAACGGAACCGTATATAGGATATGTCAGACCGGCTGTATACTCTCACTGGGACACACAGGTATAAAGGTGCATTTCTTGAGGCTAAATTTAATTTAATTTTCAGCGCACAAATAAATTATTCCTGTCACGAGCTCAACAGGGAACTAATGTCTCTGTCTGTCAA